CTTCTTCACAATCAGTCGACCATTCGAACTTCTTCACTTTTTTTAGCAGCCTAATGATAGGCTTTGCCGTTTCAGCTAGGCATGGCAGGAATCTTGACAAGGACGTGAGCCGTCCGGCTAACCGTTGCACCTCTTTAAGGTTTTGGGGGCTTCTCATACCGACGATTGCTTGCCATTTGTCAGGATTGGCCTCAATGCCTCTAGCCGATAGCATGAAGCCGAGAAACTTACCCCCGGAAACGCCGAATACACACTTTTCTGAATTCAATCGCATGTCATGTCTACGAAGTTGTTGAAATACTTCTGCAAGGTCAGATAGGTGCCGATCAAGGTCTTCGGATTTGACGACCATGTCATCTACATATACTTTCATATTTTTCCCAATCTGGTTCTGAAACACCTTATTCATCAACCTTTGATATGTGGCTCCAGCGTTCTTCAATCCGAAAGGCATCACCTGATAGCAAAAATTGGCCGAATCGGTGATAAAAGCTGTTTTTTCCTCATCGCCGGGGTGCATGCGTATTTGATTGTATCTGGAATACGCGTCAAGAAAAGTGAGGAATTTATGCCCTGATGCTCCGTCAACTAACCGGTCAATATTTGGTAATGGATAAGCATCCTTGGGGCATGCTTTGTTGAGATTAGTGTAGTCGGTACACATTCTCCATTTACCGTTCGGCTTCCTTACCATGACCACATTTGTCAGCCATGTCGTATACTGTACTTCCCGAGTGAATCTTGCCTCAATCAACTTGGCTACTTCGGCTTCGACTGCTAGTTTCCTATCGGTCCCCATCTTTCGCTTGCGCTGAGCTATAGGTGCGTTGGCGCAAATAGAGAGCTTGTGGCACATGAAATGTGGGTCGATGCCAGGCATATCTGAAGGTACCCATGCAAAGAGATCTTGGTTCCGAATGATTACCTTGCTTAAAGCGAAATGGTCTTTTTTGGGAGTGCTGGCGCCGATGTAAGTCACCTGAGATGGTGACGAGCCTATTTGCAAAGAGATCTTGGTTTCAATTGGCTCTACATGCTATTCTTCATTAATCCTAGGGTCAAGATCCAAGGCCTGGGTTTCCTCATATGCCGAAGGGTTTCTAGCCGAAGGGTTTACTGCATGAACTCTTTTTGATTTTGTTTGTTTCTCTTCCATGGGAGTTATTCGCAAGTTGGCATAGTAGCATTCCCGCGCTGCTTTTTGATCAACATGAATAGTAAGGATGTTTCCTTTTTCGGATGGAAACTTCATTGCCAAATGTGGCGTTGAGACGATTGCCCCCAACATGTTTAATGATGGTCGACCGAGCAAAATATGGTATGATGTGCTAGCATGCACCACTATGTACTTCACATGAATTTCTCTGTATTCTTGTTCATCAAAGCAAAAGCGGGTAAAGAGTTTAATGTATCCCTTAGTGCTTACTCTTTCTCCAGAGAAACCGACCAGGGGATCATCATATAGTATGAGCTCCTTCTCCGAGATGCCCAATTGCTTGAAGGTGTTCCAGTACAGAATGTCTGCCGAACTACCCTGATCGACCAATGTTTTCTTAACTATGCAGTTATGAATCTCGACACTAATCACCATTGGGTCATCCTGTACAGGATCAATGCCCTGAAAGTCGGCATCAGTGAAAGTGATTGCCGGTAGTCTCCGAGCTGGCTGTCTGTCAACCACATGGACCAACCGAACGACACGCAAATGTCTCTTTTTTTCAATTGTGTTGATGACTCGCCTATGTGAACCTGTAGGCTCGTCCTTTCTTTCACGTGACCTGCTACGTTCACGTCAGGGCCTCTCGGCATGATCTTGCCTATGCCGATCGTTGTGTCGAGGTTGAATGAGGGGCGCGGCCAAGACGAGTCTAGCCGATCTACAAAATTATGAAGCTTCCCTTGCTTAATTAAATCCTCAATTTTGTCCTTCAGAGCCGCGCACTCTTCGGTAGTGTCCTCGATTGCGGTGATACCTGCAAGACTTGTTGGTATCGGCCCGCGGTGGGGTGGATGCTCTTTTTGGAACGACCAACACTTTAGAGGCGAGAGCTTGCTCAAGTATCGCTGCCCGACTTGCATTCAAGGATGTGTACTGCGAGTATTTTGGTCCTCGTGTAGGTCATTCTCGAAGTGTTATTTCTTTTTTGCAACCCCGAAATGATGGCTCTCCAGGCTTTTCGATTTTATTCATGGTTTCAGCTTGGGCTTGATTCCGAAACTCAGCCAACTCCTCCATTTGCATATATTTGTCAGCTCTCCTGCATAGGTCATTCATATCTGAAGGGGGTTTCTTGCAAAGGCTATTGACGAATGGCCCTGGTTTCAAAGCTGTTGTCAGATGATGAAGTGCTATGGCCGGGTTAAGATCTCGGATTTCCAAGGCTGCCTTGTTGAACCGATCCATGAAAGCTCGAAGCGTCTCCTTCTTATCTTGCCAAAGACTAACCAGCGATAAAGATGTTAAGCTGTGGGGACGGCTCGTTGCAAACTGAACTGTGAATTGAGACGACAAGGTATTGAATGAGTCGATCGAATTAGGGGATAGCCGAGTGAACCAGCTCAAAGCCCTACCCTTGAGAGATGTAGGGAAAATGCGACACAAGGCAGCATCGTCCGTAGTGCTCAAGGTTACCTGCGTAAGAAAAACATCAAGATGTTCATCAGGGTCAGTGGTACCATCATACTTATCAATAGGTAAAGATTTCCAATTGTCCATCAGAGGGAGCTGCATGATGGAGGGGGTAAATGGGTGTCGGTGCGACCCGATAGTTTCCAAATCTGTGGGTCGGCCGACTGTGGGTAGGGCTGAAGGGAATTTTTGAGGTGCCGCAGCCGAGGCATGAGGGGCCGAGGTGTGAATTGCCTAGGATTGATACGACCCTTGCGTTTGTGTATTTGTGGCCTGAGTAGGTTTCCACGATGGATCCTAATTTTTTAATGCCTCATTTTCGGCTCTCAAGGCCAAAAGCTCCCTCGCATCCTTTTCTCGCTGCTGCTTCATTGCCTCCATCTCTTGTTTCAGGAGACGAACAGTCTCAGAAAGATAAGTTTCGTCTACCACTTCCACATGTTCTTCCTCTTCAGTCTGATGATCTTCCATGTTCGTTCTCCTAGTTATCGCCATTGCTTCGCTCAGTTGATCTTTAGAATCATCTCAGTTTGGCCCCATGGTGGGCGCCAAAATGTACCTGTCTAAAGGGCACACTAGTAATCTTCTTGTATTCTGAGGGCTGAACGAGTGCTCCGATCGAATATTCCGGTGAAGGGGAGGTACCTGCAAAAGGCACTCCGACGCTCAAGTCAGGACAAAGCACAGATATCGATAGTAATTAATGAACAGTGATGTTACCTCGTGACATGCGCTATTTATACTGACATTTATGGGCCCGGATTCCCATTGCCCTGCAACAGGATTACCATATTAGGTAATACGCCTCTAATCGGCTTACTAGTGTGATTAGCTCTTAATCCTTGATTATGGGTTAATCCTTGGCTCTTATTAATAGGAATCTGAGCCTATGGATCATTTAGCGGCCGAACGGTAATCGGCCATCTGGTTCGACCATTCAAGTGCCGATTGGGTATCGGCCAGCAAGTGGCCGAACGGCCGAACCAGGTGGCCGAATAGGCTTACTAGTACA